CTATCCTCTTCAACTCCCACTGAAAGGCAAGTTTGGCAGTTGGTTCCGGATCCAGCATACTAGGTGTCATAGTTAGAATTTATTTCCACATTGGGTTAAAAATCACCATGTGTTTTTTTTTTCCCTCATCAGTTAAGTCTCTCCCATTCCTGCACCCCCAGGACAAACAACTATTTTTTAAAATTTTATATACAAAGCAGAGAATGAACATCTGGAAGATGACATCAACACGACTCTTCAGTTGCAAAAAGGCAAAATTACTCCGTAGTCTAACGAAAAAGAATCTGAAAGTCTGGCAATATTTTTCCTTTCATCTTCAATGCCAGACTTTGAATATATCAGAATGAGTTCCTCTATTTTAAATCCATATTTTCAGACTTTTTGTTTACAAACAACACTTGGACTAGACATACAACTTCATTACTTTGTCTTGTTCCGGTTGGGATTCTCAACTAGAGTCAGCGCTGAGTCTTTAACAACAGGGCAGGAGCTGTGTTTTCACTGTCTTCTCCCCCTATCCTCACTGAGCACCCATTCCCTACTGAGCACCCATCATGTGCTGGCCACTGTACAAGGCCCATAGCTTCTCATGGATCTTAACTTCTCACAGTGGGGAGACAGACAAGAAAGAAAAGTATATAGACTCTGTTGGAAGGTGGTAAATGCCCTAGAGAAAACTGCAAGCAGGGAGGGGGAATGTGGAGTTCTGGGGAAGGCGAGAGGCGGTTAGGCCATTCTCCCTGTGAAGGCAATATTTGAACAAAGATTGAAGGAGAAGGGAGTCACGTGGACATTTGGGGCAAGCCTGTTCCAGGCAGAGGGAACAGCACATGCAAAGGCTCTGAGGTAGAAGGGTTCCTGATACCACTGAGAAATAGCAAGAAAGTCAGTATGCCTGGGGATGCGGGGAAGTGTGGTAGAGAATGAGGTCCGAGAGGCAGTCGGGGAGGCAGAACAAAGGGGTCCCCGTATTTGTCAAATTAAGAGTAATAGCAGTAATAATTAGGAAGAGAGCTGGTATTTATTGAGTTCTTTGTGCTAAATGCAATTCCTAATAGGCACCATGTATTATCTCCTTACAAATTCAAAGCAACTGGTCGCTCTAATAGGCACAGAGTTGCCTTTATGCTTTAGGACACGCATGGCAGTAAGTGCAAAACTCTATAGGAAGTATTTCCCTTAACAAGCCCTCACCCTACCCTTGCCTTAACATGACTAAAACCTTCACTAAACTCTGCAGTTAATCTCCCCTTGCATCTTAAAAATAAAAACATAGTTTCTTATAAATGTCAAATGTCTTGCTTATTTCCAAGTTGTGGTTTTTTATATGATTTTCAAGGCTGTTCCAGTACCTGAAGGTGAAAGGGTTCAACTTATGAAAAGTTAATAAGTACAGTTTGAGACACTATTCAGAGTTCAAATCCTGCTTTAATAACATCCTTTGATGTGTTTAATGAATCCTTTAGCACAACTTTTTTTTCCCCTGTAATACTGTATATGGTATAACTTCATGTTTCAGAGTGTTAATTACAAATTACATCTAATAGAGCCAAAAGGCATGGTACCTATTGTTCTGCTGGCCATGTTCCCTTCTTTCTGCTGCACTTGCCTTTAAAAGGCATCCTGACATATAGAAATAAGCATGCCAAGAGAGCTGGGCTTGCTAAACAAAGTTAATTAGTGCAAGTACCAGATGTACCTTTATAAAGAACTTCAGTAGACTCTTTATTACTTAGTTTCCACTAATTAGGACATAATTTGAAAATATCTCCTAATACAAAAAGATTGTTCAGTTCAACTCAAGAAACATTTATTGGTCAGGTGCTATGAAGATAAAGACAATCCAGTGGCTGCCCTCAGGAACTTACAGTCTCCCAGGCTGACCGAACCACAGGCCTTCAAAATGAAGGAAAATCTGGGGTGAGGGCAAGCACTGATGCAGAAGGTGCCAGAACAAACTTGTGACTACTTTTTAAAAAGCCACTCACGCCAAACATCAGACATCAGCTGTCCCCTGCTGAA